GGGGGGGGGGGGGGGGGGGCTCTTTGAAAAAATAATTCCTCCCTGGGGTTGGGGTGTGTAAGAATAATTTGGATAATTTCTGGAACTACACAATATATATAAATTTACATGTTGACAAATATTTCTTTAATTGAATAGGCTATTAAATTCCCCCAAGTGAACTGATGTAGAACACTCATGAATAAGACAAAATGCCAACCAAAAATAAAAGTCACCAAGTTATGAAACAGCCAGCTGAAAGCTGGAAAATATGAGAATCAAATTCATGAGACAATACAATTGTTTAATTCTATTCTATTTGTCTTTCTTGACTCTAAATAAAGAATAAATTATGCTTAATTTCCAGTAATCTTTAATAATATAGTATTAAGGCATAAAAAGTAAAAGAAAAACAGCCCATAAAATGAAGATAAACAAAATCTAAACCAAGAAATGTCAATCTTAATCCAAACTTTATGAAAGTGGAATTCATTTGGAATTCTTTTTATCTACAGTCACATGAAACAATTAAGCACACATGACTTTCATGCTGCTGAACATATACCTCAATATCTAATAATTTCACTTTCTGACATGGGGGAAACCCCCTTGGTCTATGAAGCATGAATTATAACGTCTTCCACAAATAGATTATATCTCAGTGCAATGGATATCAAACTTTCACTTTTTAAATCTCACCACCAAAAGTTTAGTTTTAATCTTTCATTCCAAGATGAGGGATCAAATGAAGCTTATGTTGGCATGGATTTTTAGGGAAAAACAGATGGTAAGTCTCTAAAACAAATTACAAATATTAGAACTACACAGAGCATAATATACTTTTATTTACCATCAAAAGCGTGAACTTCATCTTGTAACAATTTCATATTCTTGTACTGAATGTGGTTAGCCAAAAAGACGAAAAATATATTTTTTTTACAAAACTCCTATAATTAACACAAATCTGATTTATTCTTTTGGGAAAATGATTGATATTTGATCGAACGATCTGAGCCTTGCCACTTTCAAATTATTTTTCAATATCTGTAACTCCACAAAGGCTTTCTTAAATAACAATAAGGAGTTTAGCATTTTCAGAATGCTATATATCCAATATAATAATTGTATCTTCTTCCTTTGTCATGCACAGTGTAATATCGCTAGTACAATAATAAGTAAATAAAATAATTAAGTCACTGGCAATCAATTCCAAGAACTTGCTAAAACCTACTAGAAAATTCAACTTCTTGTGGTAGGGATTTTCAAAGTAATGACAAAAATCTATGGCATTTTTGATTTTCAATGTGAACTAATATGCAAGAAAAGCAGTCTCATTTTATGTCCATACATCTTCATGGTATCGCTTTTCAGCTCTCAACTTGGCCATCTCTTTGATTGCTTCAGCCTTGCTCACCCCTAAGTGTTGCTCTATAATATCACAGAAAGTTGTGAACACATCTTTTGCCATATTCTTTGCATCACCACACACATACACCACCGCATGGTTATTAAACAACAAATTTCCTAAATTGGCTGCGTGTAGTTTCAAATTATCTTGAACATAGCGTGGACATAAACAATCTGAGTTTTCTCTAGAAAAGCTGACAACTAAATGATCCAAGATTCCTGAATGATGGTAAGATTCCAATTCTTCCTTGTAAAGGAAGTCCTTTTCTCTGTGTCGACAACCATAGAAGAGCCACATCTCACCCTTTTGTTTGTCTCCATTGCACCTTTCAATCTGAAGCTTTCTGTGTTCCAAGAAACCTAAAAAAGGTGCAACCCCAGTCCCTGGACCAATCATGATAGTTGGCACCTTTAAATCTTCTGGGAGCCTGAAGCCAGGATTTTTTCTAGCAGAGACTGGTACTTGGATGATTTTGTTACTTGATCGATTGGACAAGTCGATGTTCCTAAACTCATTTGACAGGTTATCATCATCTTGACCCATGCTTTTCATTTCTTTTGTAACTTTACTGAGCCATCCAGTGCAGACTCCCTTTCTGTTACAGCGCAAATCTTCAAAAGGTGAAAATTCAACCACATTGAAGACAAATTTAAGCCTGCATGGGTCTGACAGAGGTGAGCTTGATACGGAATACGGTCTTGGGCTAAGATGAGGAAGGTGTTCTAATAATCTTTGAAATGGAGGCTTACATGAAGGAAATGCCTTTAGTATTTCTAGTAAACAAACACTTGGTTCCCTCACAAAAGCATGATAATCACTGCTACCTTGCTTGCTGCACAATTCTTGAAGTCTGCGTTTCTCTTGAGGGTTTTCGGTGTACTCTACTAACATACGAATAAGAGCCTTTTTGGGGACAGCTCTTATTTCCAAGCAGTTGAGGAAAGCATGTTTCATTGTACATAACTCTGGGATGTGCTTTGGCCTAGATGCTACCTTTTTTGTAGTGGATGGTATTACACTTGTCCTAAATGGGATATCTGCTGCATCGTCAAGCCCAAGTCTGCCAATCAACTCAGAAACTTCATCTTCGTTATTGCTGCACAAAATATCAAAAGAATCCCCAGGTTCATAGTCTAAGCCACAGTCTGTAATATCCAATTCAATTTCCAGGGCTGTTTTCACAGCATCATTTGCAGTCAACTGCTTGGCAGATACTATGGTTGCCATTGATAATGACTGTCTACCATGTGAAAGGTCATCTTTTGAAGGCATAGTATTCTCGCTCTCAAAATCTATTTCCAGATATGGTGGAGAACACAGTGGGATTGATAGACTGCTTGAAGAAAGTGGCTCTACTGATCTCTTCAACGATGCTTGAGGTTGAATGGTAGGGGTCTCATTAGGGATACAATTCTCACTGTTATTTTTTCGATTGTCATTGGACATCGATTCTCTAGGAGAGGACTCAATAGGATTTTCCTTTTCTTTACTATTCTTCTGAATTTCACTCTCAATCTTTTGGTTATTTTCTTCAATGCCTTGTGGTTTCCCATTGTGTATTACACTTGAAGCTGAATTACTGTCTTTGCCCACATCTTGAATGTCATTACCTTTGCCATCATGCAAATCATCAACACTTTCATTACTGATCTCATTCATTCCCAAACACTCTTTAACTGCATCCCACAACCCATCAATCCAAGGCTCTACAACTAACTCCAACCCAACCGCATCATCAGCATGGCCTGTATCATAGAAATGCTTTGCTCCAAGATCGTGTAATCTTCTGTCCAAAGTTTTTCCATTATTACAGAAATTTGTGTAGTTTGTGTCCCCAAGGGCTAGCAATGCATACTGGCAATTTTTAAGATGATCTGATGGTAAAGTTTTTTTCTTCAGTCGTCTCATGAACTTTAACATCGTATCTGGTGGATCACCTTCTCCTGTGGTTGAAACAACGAAGACAACCACGGGTTCTCGTTCAAGAGAGAACTTCTTCTCAGTTTGGCTGAGGCAGAAAAGCTTTGTTTCAAGGCCATTTTGTGATGACTTTTCGTGAATTTCTTCGGCTATAGCTTGAGCTTGTCCCGTCTGGGATCCATAAAGGATCGTAAAATGCCTAGACACAGGCATGTGGTGCCTTCGTAAGGGTATAAACTGTGTTAAAGTTGAAAATATAAGTGTATTTCTGTGGAAAAATTTATAAAAGTACATCAACCAGTGAAAGGCTATTACACAACATGCTGATGAAATAATGTGAAAATACGGATTTCTAGCGAGATATTTGATTGGCTAGAAGTTGGAATTCAAAAACCTAACATGAAATGTGATTGGGTAAAATTGTCCGCATAAAAAATTCACGTCCCAGAAACTCCTTAGGGAGGAGAGGTAGAGTAGGGTTATTGAAGTGTCCTTTTTGAAAGCTACTAAGTCCATAGTAAGATAATAATAATTGAGTCTTTTTTATCAAAATATTTCCTTTGTTGATCTATCTTATACATTTTTTATACTGTGCCAAAGCATAGCCCTTTAATTGGGCAAATGCAAAAATTAAAATTTACCCCTCCCTCGATAAAATTATTATTACAGGAGCCTTTCCAACAAAGCTATTAGCCTATTCACGTGATTACATTCTACGGACAGGAAAACAAAATGGCGAAGGATTATTTATGAGCAAAATGAAATTTGGCGGAAGAGGTTCAGAGTTTTCACTTCCTTTTAAATATCAGCTCTATTGAAGGGCTATGGCGAGAAATTCTATGCATCCACATCAACTCTTAGAACTTCTGGACGAAGCTGCAAACTCCAGCGTTGCGGTTAGTTTTATTTGTGATTACAGTAATACTAATGACAACCGACAGTCAATCTATTGCCGTTATCAGTTGAGTCTCTACTGTTTATGCATAACATGATTCGTAAATAGCAGAGTTTTTTTCAGAATTTTCTTCAGAGTTCGTCGGTTCTGGAATCTCTTAGAAAGAATCGTGAACGATCAAAAGTTCCAAATGTCTTTGACGTAATTAAAAGATTATAGCAATACTGCATGAATACTGAAAGCTAGTGAGGCCGTATAAAAGCTTTCAGTCTTATTTATCGTCGTATTTCGTTCATAACTAAATGTAAAAATGAAGTGAAAAAAGGTAGCTACAATGTTGGAAGATTTATATCTATTATATATGCAACGACATGGTCTATATTGGATGCATTCATGAAGCTATTCATGCACGTTCAGCAAGACCGTTTCCTTCTTCCATTTCCGGGTCACAAGCTCTGGCCTGTTTATACGTTAGCAAAAATCCACTTTATAATACATTTATTAGATAATTTACACCTTTATTTGAGATTTAAGACATGTTCTTAGACTTTTGTGTCATGACCCATGGACTACCTTGTTTATTTATATTTGTCAAAATTAGTGAATAAGTAATTCGAGGGTATTTTTTTAGTGGATTAATGGAATCTGCTTGTGGTAGAAGGAAATAGACGAAGAATGTTTTGAATAGCTGGATATATAATAAAATCATAAAAATATGATTGCTCATTGTAAAGCAGGAAATAAATGAAAAAAAGCTTAATCGCATTTGTTATTGAACTTGACGCTCACGAGTTGCCGAAGAAATGATTAGGTCAGCATCTGAACAGTTAGATCGGAAAAACGCCTATATGATTAATAACACACCTAAAAATCTGTTATCCCCTAAACCACATCCTATCACGAATGTTCCTATTTCTATCGTCGTCATAGAGATTGTGCAATACCTTCAGAACTCGAAATTCTTTCATTTTCTGGAAGTCATGGTTTCGCTTTATCGAAGAACAATATATTTATGGATTAATTGTGTGAGCGTATTTGCATCTGGCTTTTGTATTGGCTTTTGTCAGTGTCTATTGTTTAAACATAAAGTGTGTCACGCAATCAAAAGATTAGACAAACAATGACCAAACATGTTATTCGATCTAAAATCTGGTCGCTTGCCAAAACTAAAGGAACAATAGAAATTAACGCTTATTTTTAGCAAAATCCGAGGTGGATGTAACTGCGGTGTAAAGAGGAAGGTTTACTGCACACTTAGCTCGTTTTCGAGCGCGCCAATATGTTAACATCTTGTATGGTCGTGAAAATGTCAGGAAATCGTTATAAAGGCAGCTTGGATAGGAGAAAATTGCAGGTACGAACGAATATTTCTGATTGGCATTCATAGCCATGTTGAACATGTTCACAGTGTTCTCTCGTATCTCGTTTCAAACGTTTGGAACTTTTTACGATGTTACCGTAAAGCAAACTAAAAAAATTCTAGTACCTTAATGGCCCAGTACAAGAACAGCATTAATTTGTCTTTTCTTTGAATCAAAAGATACAAAGCCAGATTAATTTTTTGGGGGCTTTTTTGTGTGTGTTTACCTTATATTGTCTAACGATCTATTAACCTTTGTTACCCATTGTCTTCAAAGAAACATATTAAGGTTTCGTTTGCAGTTTGCTGGCTTTTTCCGTGTAGTAAATGGAATTACGAATTACAGAGTATTCTAGGCATTCTAAGAGGAAAAATAGCGAGGAATGTTCGTGTTTTTAAGATAAATGTAATGTATGTAATTTTAGAGATAAGCTTTCAGAACTTGGATATCGTGTTATTTGTTCAGAATGTACTGTAGTTGACATATCTAAACCAGTGACAACTTTATTTAATTAGAAATTGTATATAATCATTTTGAGGGGAAGCTAAACTTAGGAAATTCATGAGAAATGTTTTAAGTGCTTGTTGTTTTTTTATGGAAAAGCACGATTTAGTTTTCATTTCAAATTTCACTTTGTTATTGGTCACAACACACCCTTGGTTTCTGGTAGGTGTACTTTGTACCCAACTATGTATTGTTCACGTGGAGGGAAGTTGCAGCAGAACAGCTGGTTGGCCTCTGTCTGCTTTCCCTTCCTTATGCAACTGGAATGGGAAAAGTTGCAAAGTGAGACTTAGGGAGGACAAATAAAAATAGGCTACTTTCAAAATGATTTGATAAAATATTCATAAAAATATGTGGATAGAATTGAAGGTATACAAGAGTAGTAATAAGCAGGTTTTCAAAGGTTTTGCCTTTTTGACAAGAATGAATGAATGAATAGCTCTGACTTGCTCTTTTACTTTGAGGAAAGTAATTATATTCATTTCTCTCAGCCTGAGGAGGCCAACAGCTGTAAGCACTTTAGTTTTGGGGCATATTTTTATTGTTTAAGATTCTCAGCTTGGTCACCAACAGCTTTTAGCCCAAAATTAAAAAAATAAAATAAAATAAGAATCTCAGCTTTGAAACTGTCACTTATTTTTATGAATTTTTTATTTTGTTAAATTGTTAATGCATTCAGAACTGATTGGATCTTATGTTTCAACTCTTTTTGTTTTAATCACAGCCTTTCCATGGTGCTATACCAGCTAGAATATACAGCCACCCACCTCTGTATCCAGGAGAGCAGATCATCTTTCAACAAGACCATATCGTGTGCGTGGACTCCTTTGACAGTCATTCAGAGGGTGTTCTACATCTTACTACATTCAGGATTATTTTTACTGGCAACTACTGTAAAGAAGTATGTAATATTCATGAACGTTTTTTATTATATTTATTTAATATTTATTGAAACAAGTTGAAAGTTATATTTGCACTTTTTCTGGGTTTTTTTTGTTTGTTTTTTTGTTGTTTTTTTTTACTAAAATGTCCAATTAGGCGCATATTTAACATACTTGCAAAAAAAGAGAGCCCTTTTGGCAAAAATGTAAGTTCTAACATATTTACTGCAATCCCAGCAAAATAGCTTGCAGGCGATTCTGTATAAATCTAAGATTAATTGCTGAAGGAGTCATAGGAATCAATAAGAATGATTAATTTTGAACATTTCATTTATTTCATGAACTTACATCAAGGCTTTCAGAATAAGCTTTTAGCTGCAGGAGCTTCAGTGATTTCTATGAAGTTAACTGCTGGCTTCTTTTTTTCTTTTATAAAATACCTTCTGTTCCTTGTATTGGATCACTGCCAGCTACGTTTACTTCAGACTTATGACCACATACTCCAAAACATACTTCTGAAAGCCCTGTACATAGAGTAGATAGGTTTCACGTAAGTGTGATATGTTCATAGTATAGTCATGACATGGTCACAGTAAGCAATCACTGATGACATCTGCTGAAACAATCACAATGTTCCTAGATTAATTCATTTCATGCAGTTTTTACCAAAGTCAAGGGAGTTAGCAAGTTCAAGATGGCAGCTTAATAAATGTATTTTTGTACCATAGTTATACTCAGCCATTAATGACAAGAATTCCATGTTTGATGAGGATGCAGAAGAATTATCCAAAAAAGGCTCAAGGCGTCAGTCTGTCTCTTCCAAAAGCGTGCTGGCAAATAATCAGAAAAACCACTCAAAGCCAGGAACAGAAGTCTACCAGAGACAGCAAATGTGAGGGATATTTCATTCTTCCAACCCATCCCTTTTTCATCCAATTCATAACTTTTCATCTCATGATTCACCATAAATTTTTTGATTTATTACTGACTTTTTTTACATGTATTATTTCTTGAAATCTTTTCTGTCAGATTATTCACAGACTTTGAACTTTTTACTTTTTCCTGAATGAAAATCAATAAGAAAGTTGGGAAACAGTTAGTTAAAAATCATTTCCCCTTTTAAATTTCCTAGGAAAATTTTACCATTGAAGTTAATAACTTTTGATCTCTTCATTATACTTTATTCCTAAGTTCAAAGTTAAAACGATTATCAAAGTATTATATATAGGGACTTTTTCATTTAAATTTCCTTCATTTATCCCATATTCGCATAATTAACTACTGGTCGTCTTTTGTCCCAGCAGATTGGCAAAATGTCCTAGTCCACTCAAATATTCACAATCTGTGAAGAAGCGTAGCAACACATCATATGACGTTGCTGGGCTTGATGACCCTAATACACCCAAACTGATGACCTACAGACCTCTAGTTTTATCCAATTTAGAACACATAAGTAAGTACACATTTAAGTGTGAGAACTGCAAGGCACTGTAAAGTAAAGTTTTCACTTGGTGAGGTGGATTTGGTGGACAAGAATTTAGAGTTTTCAAAACATTTCATGGGATGGAGGAGGGGTAGAAAGGCTGTCAATGTTTTAGCTTTCTCTATTAAAACTAATACTTTCTCTATTATTTGTCAGAACATGTCTATGATTTAGAGCTGTCAATTCCTTGCACAAGTATTTATGATATAAGAAAATATTCGAAAAAAAACCTGCCTAAAGGAAAGAGTATATTCCTTTGTGATGGGTTTGAAATTCTCTGCAACAACATCAAGTCACATCGGGTAAATATCATTGTTAAAATATACTTCTTGAACTATAGTCAGTTATATGTTTTTTCTAGAGACTTTCAAGTTCTTGTTGATGAAAGTAAACTTATTTTTCTTCACAGTTTTGCATTGGACTTCAAAGTTGTTATGATGCTGACAGTATCATTAAACTCCTTACTTACCATGCCAAACCAGTAAGTTAAAGTTACTCTTCTATATGTGAGGGGCAATCTTTTGTTGAGTAGTCAGGCTGGAGAATCGATACTCACTTTTACTCAACTTTTACAGCGAGGGTGCACATCGAATAAAGTTGGACCATTGATCAGTTTTTAATAGCAACTCAGTTGTGTTACCAGAGATCTTGCAGGGAGGTGCACAGGCAATGATTTGCAGAACCAAAAAAAAACGAGATAGATGAGCGGACCTTAAGCTTTAATGGGGAGTGCACGTGTACCCTGTGCTCCCCACTGGTTACGTCCCTGGATACCAATATACTCTTCCCCCCCCCCCCCTCATTCTCTGATACCAATATACTCAGAATTTCAGGAACGACAGGGACTCCCCAAAGCTTCTAAAAACAAGATACTTTAAATTAATCATTGGAGATATTGAATTTTAATAGTAGTATGAATTTAGTCATTCATTTTAATTCTTTATTTTTTCTAGACATTTAGTCGACTGTTTGCATTTGCTCATAAAAGTGCAATAATAGTGCCTAGAAAAACATGCAGTATACTGGAGAGTAGAGATGCTCCAAATTTCTATAAGTTCAATGGTAGGTTTCTGTGTTATCTCTTTCTCTCTCTTTTATTTACATTTTACTTTGTTTGTTTGTTTGTTTCTTCATTTATTCCTTTTCCTTCCTTCCTTCCTTCCTTCCTTCCTTCCTTCCTTTCCTTAAGTAAATTTGATTTTTTTGATTTGTGTATTTTCAGACGTTTGTTTTTTTGTTGTTTTTTTTTTTGTTTGTTTGTTTGTTTGTTTGCTTGTTTGTTTTTTTGTTTCCTTGTTTTGTACCTTTTCCTTCCTTTCTTCTTCTTTCCATAAATAATTTTGATTTTTTGCGTATTTTCAGACGAATATATCGACAGATTGGGCCTGCTTTCGACAAACGAATGGAAAGTACCTAGTAAGCACAATATATTGAAATTTAGATTTTCTTGTAATGTAACACCGTAGCCAGCCTCGAGACATGCACCAAAAGCCATACTCAAAGTTTAAAGGTTTCTACATTAATTCAGTCGTTCTCATACTCGCATGGATCATACTCGTTTCTGGTTTCCATATTGCCGACTTTTTCTTGATTTTTATACTGTTTTGTACAAAATTTGTTTTTTTATTGCTTTCCTTGTTGCTTTTTGCTTTATAAACGTTTCTATTTGTTTTTCTATAAGCTTTTTCTGACTTCATTTGCTTTTGTTTGTTTTTTTTCTGCGACGTTTTTTTTAAGACATACAAACAAAGGAAAGCACATGTGGAAACCATGCACGGATTGAGCGATAGACGCCACTCTAGACAATGCTTCTTATTTAAAAAAAGAACAAGTTATTGTTTTGCCAGCCGTTGACGCGAGTAATACTTGCAGTGCGTGTCGCAGTCGTGTGGATCTGAAAACGTGTTTTCTCAATCATGCATGTTTTTATAAATAAACGGTAATTATTACCTTCTGCTTGGCATCTATTTGGTACTTAACTAAATCGTATTAAGCTCAATATCTAGTATTGTCACGTTACACATGATTACACGTAACGCATTCGTTTTTCATCCATCTCAAGGTCACGTATGCGAACATTACCCAATGAGAACGCTGGTACCATCAACGATAACAGACGTTGATCTTAAAAACGTGGCTAACTTCCACAGGTAACACAGTGGCATACAAAACGTCATGCTTTTTACATTATGTTTCTCAAGGGTGGCTGTGGATTGAAACTAATAGCCGTGACAATCACGCGTCGTTTAATCCATGGACTAGACCCTAAAGAATCCGTTCACGAAATCACGAAAACGAGCTCGCTATTAGACATTTAGCTTGGATTTTTCACGGCATAATATTTTTACTCATTTATATCAAAAATGGTATACAAAAATAAGGGTTTTGATACGGAGCACTAAAAGCTGGCTTAGCTTCCAGCTATTTGTACCGTTGAAGCTCTGCTTGTCAAATCATGTCCTTGCACGCGCCTTCAGCCAACTTGACGTTTCCTTTTGTCAAAGCATCTAGTTTCTGAAAATCTCTGGCTGTGAAAAAAAAGCGTGACGTTCAAGTGATCAGCGTGAAATGCATTGTCTCGTCTCAGCACTTTTCGTGTGAAACATTGCACGGCACGTAGTTCCTTGAGAGAAAACCACTTCAGTGTATTTCCTGTGGATTTGTCTTGCGGTTTCTTGTCATTTCACTGCCATTTCAGGTCTTTTAGGCTGGTTTTTTTTACTAAAATACCTAAATTAATTTTCACCTTTCGATTCCTTAGGGACGGACCATTAGATAGTTGATGAGAGGGGGGGTTGCGTAAATCCCAAAA